TCGTTTTTTCAGTTTTTGGGCGAAAAAATTAAGTTTCTCCAATCTTCTCAAAACTCACTGGATTCTGATAGAGGGCTGTGAGACTTTGACCTGAGTGCAAAAAATGGAGGCTCTAGACCTTTCCAGAGCTGAGATATGGAAATTCAAAATTTCGACCCGAAAAAAAAAACGACAGTGTTACCGCTTTCGTTTTTTTCAGTTTTTGGGCGAAAAATTAAGTTCTTCAATCTTCTCAAAACTCTGGATTCTGATAGAGGGCTGTGAGACTTTGACCTGAGTGCAAAAATGGAGGCTCTAGACCCTTTCCAGAGCTGAGATATGGAAATTCAAAAATTCGACCCGAAAAAAAAACGACAGTGTTACCCCTTTCGTTTTTTCAGTTTTTGGGCGAAAAATTAAGTTCGCCAATCTTCTCAAACTCTGGATTCTGCATAGAGGGCTGTGAGACTTTGACCTGAGTGCAAAAATGGAGGCTCTAGACCCTTCCAGAGCTGAGATATGGAAATTCAAAATTTCGACCCGAAAAAAAAAAAAACGACAGTATTACCCCTTTCGTTTTTTCATGTTTTGGGCGAAAAATTAAGTTTCTCCAATCTTTCTCAAACTAACTCTGGATTCTGATAGAGGGCTGTGAGACTTTGACCTGAGTGCAAAAATGGAGGCTCTAGACCCTTCCAGAGCTGAGATATGGAAATTCAAAATTTCGACCCCAAAAAAAAAAACGACAGTGTTACCCCTTTCGTTTTTTTCAGTTTTTGGGCAAAAAAATTAAGTTTCTCCAATCTTCTCAAAACTCTGGATTCTGATAGAGGGCTGTGAGACTTTGACCTGAGTGCAAAAATGGAGGCTCTAGACCTTTCCAGAGCTGAGATATGGAAATTAAAAATTTCGACCCGAAAAAAAAACGACAGTGTTACCCCTTTCGTTTTTTTCAGTTTTTGGGCGAAAAATTAAGTTTCTCCAATCTTCTCAAAACTCAGGATTCTGATAGAGGGCCACCAGACTTTGACCTGAGTGCAAAAATGGAGGCTCTAGACCCTTCCAGAGCTGAGATATGGAAATTCAAAATTTCGACCCTAAAAAAAAACGACAGTATTACCCCTTTCGTTTTTTTCAGTTTTTGGGCGAAAAATTAAGTTTCTCCAATCTTCTCAAAACTCTGGATTCTGATAGAGGGCTGTGAGACTTTGACCTGAGTGCAAAAATGGAGGCTCTAGACCTTTCCAGAGCTGAGATATGGAAATTCAAAATTTCGACCCGAAAAAAAACGACAGTGTTACCCCTTTCGTTTTTTTCAGTTTTTGGGCGAAAAATTAAGTTTCTCCAATCTTCTCAAAACTCAGGATTCTGATAGAGGGCCACCAGACTTTGACCTGAGTGCAAAAATGGAGGCTCTAGACCCTTCCAGAGCTGAGATATGGAAATTCAAAATTTCGACCCGAAAAAAAAAACGACAGTGTTACCCCTTTCGTTTTTTTCAGTTTTTGGGCGAAAAATTAAGTTTCTCCCAATCTTCTCAAACTCTGGATTCTGATAGAGGGCTGTGAGACTTTGACCTGAGTGCAAAAATGGAGGCTCTAGACCCTTCCAGAGCTGAGATTGGAAATTCAAAAATTTCGACCCGAAAAAAAAAAACGACAGTGTTACCCCTTTCGTTTTTTTCAGTTTTCGGGGCGAAAAATTAAGTTTCTCCAATTCTTCTCAAAACTCTGGATTCTGATAGAGGGCCACCAGACTTTGACCTGAGTGCAAAAATGGAGGCTCTAGACCCTTCAGAGCTGAGATGGAAATTCAAAATTTCGACCCGAAAAAAAAAACGACAGTGTTACCCTTTCGTTTTTTTTAGTTTTCGGGCGAAAAATTAAGTTTCTCCAATCTTCTCAAAACTCTGGATTCTGATAGAGGGCTGTGAGACTTTGACCTGAGTGCAAAAATGGAGGCTCTAGACCCTTCCAGAGCTGAGATATCAAAATTCAAAATTTCGACCCAAAAAAAAACGACAGTGTTACCCCTTTCGTTTTTTTTGTTTTCATTGGCGAAAAATTAAGTTTCTCCAATCTTCTCAAAACTCAGGATTCTGATAGAGGGCCACCAGACTTTGACCTGAGTGCAAAAATGGAGGCTCTAGACCCTTCCAGAGCTGAGATATGGAAATTTAAAATTTCGACCCGAAAAAAAAACGACAGTGTTACCCCTTTCGTTTTTTTTCGTTTTCGGCGAAAAAATTAAGTTTCTCCAATCTTCTCAAAACTCTGGATTCTGATAGAGGGCTGTGAGACTTTGACCTGAGTGCAAAAATGGAGGCTCTACCACTTCCAGAGCTGAGATATGGAAATTCAAATTTCGACCCGAAAAAAAAAACGACAGTGTTACCCCTTTCATTTTTTTTAGTTTTCGGGCGAAAAATTAAGTTTCTCCAATCTTCTCAAAACTCAGGATTCTGATAGAGGGCCACCAGACTTTGACCTGAGTGCAAAAATGGAGGCTCTAGACCCTTCCAGAGCTGAGATATGGAAATTCAAAATTTCGACCCGAAAAAAAACGACAGTGTCACCCCTTTCGTTTTCTTCAGTTTTCGGGCGAAAAATTAAGTTTCTCCAATCTTCTCAAAACTCTGGATTCTGATAGAGGGCTGTGAGACTTTGACCTGAGTGCAAAAATGGAGGCTCTAGACCCTTCCAGAGCTGAGATATGGAATTCAAAATTTCGACCCGAAAAAAAAAACGACAGTGTTACCCCTTTCGTTTTTTTTAGTTTTCGGGCGAAAAATTAAGTTTCTCCAATCTTCTCAAAACTCTGGATTCTGATAGAGGGCTGTGAGACTTTGACCTGAGTGCAAAAATGGAGGCTCTAGACCCTTCCAGAGCTGAGATATGGAAATTAAAAATTTCGACCCGAAAAAAAAAAATGACAGATCCTCCATTTTTGCACTCAGGTCAAAGTCTCGTGGCCCTCTATCACAATCCAGAGTTTTGAGAAGATTGGAGAAACTTAATTTTTCGCCCGAAAACTGAAAAAAAACTGAAAAAAAAAGTCCGAACTCCGAATGATCAGAGGATTAAATTTACAATAGGATTTCAGTCAACGAGAGCTGCAGGTTTTGTTAATCTAGGAACAATTATTAATTCGAAATGTATATTTGACATGAAGGACAGTGATTATTCAGTCAACGGTGGAGCTGTGTCTAATCATTACAAATACGACGCTGAGGTCGTTTCTGATCTGCCGCAAATGCTGTAGCAGCTACAGTGAATGATCAGTCTGTCTCTATCTGCAGATGTGTAATAAACAACAATTTTTCATATTACGTATTTTTGTTTCTTAATTACCTTAATTATGGTCTTCAAAGTATGTGTTTGTACATTTTTATATGGCATTTAGTTGTTGTTTTTTTTATTAAAACAAATTAACCATTGACATCTAAAACTGAAAATCAAATATAGTCTCCAAAGTATGGGTTTTCAAATTTTTATTTATGACAATTTATTTTTTTTAATCACAACCAATTTGTATGATTTACAACATGTAAAACTGACACACCAACCTCCTGCACGAGTACACAAAGGGGCTCAAAATGTTCATCACAAGAATCAGTAAATTTACTGTTGGGAATCTGAGCGACTGACATGACTCCTGAGCGGATCTTCAACAATAGTTTAGCAGCCAGGACTCGGGGCTTCCGAACACCGCGAACACCAGGCTAAACCGTCCGTCCAAAATGTCACGATCATCGTGCACGAGCTGCCCAGCACAAACCTCCAACCTTTCTGCCTCCTTCACTTGGTCCTCCGTTGTGCAACAAGAGGTGAGACGATAACAATCCGGCTTTAAATTCTGTATATTCGGCAGTTTCTTTACCAACAACGGACCGAATAGCTTTTCTCACGTCTTTCTCCGCTGCCATTACTGCACTCAAACTGACGCACTACATCAACGTCATCGTTCTCAGCCACTCCCTCTATTCGCTGATTGGTCCTACAAAAAATTTATTTCTGGAAACCTAAGGATATGGAGCGGTCCCAGACGTAGTACTGAAGTAAAATGAAATTGAGCGGAAGTGCGTAGGAGGGCGCAGCCAGGCTAATGAGACATAGACCTGAGTGCAAAAATGGAGGCTCTAGACCCTTCCAGAGCTGAGATATCGAAACTCAAAGATTCGACCCGAAAAAAAAAAACGAAAGGGGTACCACTGTCGTTTTTCTTTTTTCACTCTCAAAATGTTAGCTCAAAATCTTTTGTCCAGAAAGGAAGGAAGGGACAACTCTGGATTCTTCAGTCAGGAGTTACTGTACAGTATTGATAAACACATAATCTACTTTAATGGAGAGTTCCTGTCCACTTCCTTTCCCTTAGCTTACATAATGTGTTTACACTGCTTTATTTTTGTTTTGCTATGGTAATTACAGGTTTAATGAGCACCCCTGGGAGCTGTTGAGATTCAGGCTGGAGGTCTGGAAAGAAGAGTGGTGGGCTGGAGCTCCTGTCAGCTCCTCTGAATGGCATAATCGCTCCCTAAACAACTCCCATCCTGAGGCAAACACACACTGAATCTGCAGGTAAAAACTGTGTCTCCAGCGTCTTCACCTTACATCATGTCAATGTTTTTGTCATTTCAGTTATAACTTCTGTTAAAGGCACAGTGTGTAAGTTTTGTCGCTATAGGTCGCTTATTCAACAATAAAAAAAATTTGACGGTACTTCAAATCAAAAAATCGTGTTCATGGATTGGATGAGCTAATTATTAAAGTTTTATTAGCGTTACTATGATATGAAGCAGGGCGGTGCCGAGAGACTGGGTTTTTTATGCTTCTACGCCACAGTCGAACGCATCCGTATTTTACAATTAAAGTTACGTTCAACGTTTCCTTCCCTAAACTTGAATGTTGTTACGGTTACGTTTGATCACTTAAATTTACATTCATTTCATTCTGATAAAACAGCCGCAAGTGCTGAATTACTACTCATACAGGTCACTGTATCTGATGAATAAAAATTGTAGAGTAACATAGCAAAGTTTTACTTGGTCAAATAACAATTTGAGTGTGATGAAAGTTATGTTATAGCTTTATGATATTTCGTTTGCTCGGTGGCGGTACAGACTGATCTCATGAAGTAGCGTGTGTACGACACGCCAATTCGTATTTCCATTTTTGGCGTGCTATCAAGACGCATAATCGCCTTTCAGCGTGTTTATGAACGCCGTTGACTTAACGTTATATAAATATATGACTTACCTCAACCCCGTCCCTAAACCTAACCGTCACTGGGGTTAATGGCATTTATGTCTGTTTCCTAACCATCCTAGGTAAAAAAAAGATATGACTTACCTCAACCCCATCCCTAAACTTAACCATCACTGGGGTTAATGGCATTTATGACTGGAGATTTGACTGCGTGTTCAGACACGCGGAATGACGCGGACGTTAATGGCGTAGACATATACGCATACACGCGGATAGCACAAAATGCGTGGCGATAACACACCACCTGACTCGAAAGTGGCGTATATGTTTACGCAAAAGTCATGATGTCATGTTGGGTGGTAGTACTGCATGATTAAGTGACAAATGAAAGTAGTTATTTATAGAAACATCAGCATTGAATTCAAAGACACACCTCGTAGTTTAGGGATATCATAAGACAATATAACATCATCAACAATATAACATTTTTGAGGGTGTAATTATCTCCCGAAATCTAGCAAGCAAGTTAGCTTGCTTTGCCACAATGCAATTTATTAAACAGGATAGAATGTACAAAAATGTACTTTCAAACCTCTTTATCAAGTGGGACCCCAAGCAATTTTGCATTTAAAAGACGTCTAACAGCCGTCCAAACACAGCCTTGACGTCTAGGCTAAAACAAGGCAAAATTTGGGCTGTCTGTTCAAATTTAACATAAATAACCATATCCCAAGAGTAGACTAGTCATCAATATAGAACATGTCAAAGAAATGAAACCTGTTGGGTTTGCTTGCATGATGGAATATCATACATCTCGCAAGTTATTTCGGCAAAAACGACGTTACACTCTAAAAAATGCGGAGTTATTTCAACCTAAATTTGGATCAAATATTGGCAAACCCAGTAATTGGGTTAACATTTTCAATAACAGGTTTGGGTTTGTCCATATTTTACCCCAAATTGGGTTAAAACAACTCAGCATTTTGTAGAGTGTACCAAATTCAAGGTTATTTTGTCTAGAGGTGGGTTACTCATAGCCGGACCATATTGGGTCTATAGCTAACTCAGATGGTAAAATGACAGCTATTGCTTGCTGGCATTTAAGTGTTGTAAACATTTTAAGTTACTAGGATCAAGTCTCTGACAACTGCATTGGTAGAGTTACTATCTATAGCAGAGGAAACAAGCAAGCATGTCCACCCTCTGATTTGATCTCATTTATACACACACACACTCATTATCCATTACAATTTCTTGTATTGAAACCAGCCCAGAAAAAATAAAGAGAATCTCACCTGCAAATCAACACAACGAATGATGAAATGTTCTCCACCAGTTCCACCAAATCTCAGCAGTGTAACTTTACAACCTCAGCCTCAAAACCTCCGCAAGTCCAGCTACAGTCCCCGCGTGACCTCGGAGAAAAGACTTTCTCAGACAGGAAGAGGGTATCATGCACTTCAATAACGCTTGCTGCCCGGAGATGATGAAAAGTGACCCTGCGCTGAGTGGATGGAGAAGAGATGAATTGAGAGGGAGAAAGGGGAGGAGAGAGAAAACCTTTCTCGCACATGTGTCTACAGGAAGATGTTAGGCTAGGGCTTGTGGGTTTTTTTGAGCTGCATGAGATGGAGATAGAAGGAACCACAATGAGTAAAAGCTTTTTCCAGACACAGCAGTGAACAGCAGAATATGAGTAACTTCCATTGTCGTACAGTTTGCTTCAGACGTCTGCCGCAACTTCCTCTTTAACGAAAACAGAAACTACACCTTTTTTTTCTTGGTGTAACGGCTGTAATGGAATAATACCATAATTTTCATTATGAGCGATTCTTTTTTTTTTTTTTTTTTCTTTTTCTTTTTTTTGACGCCTCCGCATGAATAACCTTACCAGAATCAAAGCTTAATTAAAGTATCTTTTTCTTTTTTTTCAAGACATGCTTCTGAAACCAAATGTTCTCTTAAACCAAGCCACCTACTGTTTCTCGGTCTGGTATTCTGGGAAATCTGAGATTTCTTGGAAGTTAAATTAAGTTCAACATATATAAACCTAATATTCTCTTTAAAAACTAATTATTTAAAGGTTATGTTCCGCTATTAAATGTGAAGCAGTTCACCTATATTTTATTTAAAAAAAGGTGTTTTTATTGAATCCATTATTGACTACTGAGCCTGTAATGGGAAGGACTGAGACTCGTATATAAGATTCCTATATAAATCACGTTTAAAGGAGTCGTTCACTTTTGAAAAAAACTTGCTGATAATTTAGTCACCCCCATGTCATCCAAGATGTCCATGTTATTCTTTCTTTAGTCGAAAAGAAATGAAAGTTTTTGATGAAAACATTCCAGGATTTTCTCAATATAATGGACTTCAATGGGAACCAAACGGTTCAAGGTCCAAAAGACAGTTTCAGTGCAAACTGCAAACTGTTCAAAGGGCTTTAAATGATTTCAGACAATGAATAAGGGTCTTGTCAAGCGAAACGATTGCTCATTTAAAATAAAAATAACAAAGTTTAAGTTTTATAAGCACAAATGCTCGCCTTGCTCTGTGACGCACGTTATTGACTCGGAAAAAGATTTGTTCATTTTGTGCATTATATGGAGAAAAATGCTGGAATGTTTTCATCAAAAACCTTAATTTCTTTTCGACTGAAGATAGAAAGACATGGATATCTTGTATGAAATGGGGGTGAGTAAATTATCAGCAAAAGTTTTTTGAAAAGTGAACTACTCCTTTAAGGGAGTTTCACAGTTTTTACTTATTACAGTATTACTTTTGCTTCTTGTTTCTCCTGGTTTGCGTTTTCATTAATTTCACAAACTGACTGATTTCTACAGAGCGGTTTCTGGATTACTTCATACATTTGGTGTTCCTCTTAAACTGTCCGGGCAAATATTAAACTTTCCATTTAATGTTTCTAATTTTGAGGAAACAACTTTTGCAGATCTGAAACAATATAATGTCCTGTTTCAAGGTTTAAAGCAGCATTCTGTTATTTTTTTTTTTTAATTTTGCTCTAGGGTCCCCTACAGTAAGGAAACGGTATTGTCTCAGTAATCAGTATACTTTCACGTCTTGAGTGTGTTAAGTGCCCTCAAAAGAAAGCAATGCAGTCTACATTGGATGCGGCGAGGGGCGAAGCTACACAACACATTACTAACAGTAAACTGATCACGCGCCCGCTCTGTTTCTGACGCACGTCACATTTGTTTTTACTTGCTGCTTCAGCCATAACAACATACAGAGGTAAAAAAAAATGCTTTGGGCTCTCGCATTTGAATTTGAGGAAGTGGGGAAGTGACGTATGCTGTAAAGCAGTCGAATATTGTAGTTCTACCTGCTCCCCGAAGAGACAGAGTGCCAGTAAAAGTGATATAGACACTGTCAGGTTTGGACAGACCTGTCATTCAACCTATTGTAAGTAGATGTACCATCTCAAGGGTTTTGTAAAAATATTCTAAAGGTTGAAAAAAATGCATAGTGCTGCTTTAATTCAGGTATAAGTTTGAGCTTTCACTAATGGGTTCAAAAGAGATTAAACACTAATACCACATTTGATAGATATGGACATTTAAATAGTTAATTTTTTTATAGTAAGTGTACGTGACCACATTAAAGTACTGCTACGTTTCATTCAGCACATTTTAAAACATCTATACTATCGTTCAAATGTTTGGGGCCCAAACATAGGTCTCTTATGCTCATCAAAGCTGCTTTTATTTGATCAAAAATAAAGTAAAACAGTAGTATTGTGAAAAGTTATTTCAATTTAATAACTGTTTTCTATCTTAATATAATTTCAAATGCAATTTATTCCTGTGATCAAAGCTGAATTTTCACTAAAAATCCAGTCTTCATACACGCATTTTAGGGGCCTTAAAGGGATACTTTTTTTTTTTTTGCTAGATTCTTTCGAGAATCAATCAGGAAAAGCGGGTAAAAAGAATTCCAACACGACTCACACATTCAAGAAGATTCATTTAAACAGATTACGTATCACCATGTTTATTATATCTGCTGGAAATGCGCCGACATTCCCTTCCACAAACTACATCATTTCTATGGTTACATGTGTACAAAACAGTCCTTCATAGCAAGAAGTTTCAAGCAAACCTAATTCTCAGTGACATGCAGCCTAATGCACAGGTCTAGGGTCAGTCAGGAGTAATAATACACCCTCAGTAAAGCTCCACTATAGTGAAGATCAGTTGAACTAGCCCGTTGCTGATCAGAGAAGTGTCTTAGTGCACTCAATGTCTTTGTGATAAGGCTGGATGGCAGCCCGTATCAGTCCTCATAAGATAACGTCCATTCTCAGAGGGGACGTCAACGGTCAACCACACCTGCAGGCCAAACCGATGACAAGATACTGGAAAACACCAGTAATATGTTTATTCTCAGTAATATGTAAAAAAAATAAAAAAAAAAAAAAAGTAGATCTGAAACTAAAAGTCACAGGATGCAAAACCAAAAGAATAAAATAAAAAAAATCCAACCACTAAATAGATAGGTGTTTCTCTCGGCATTTCGTATCATGACTAATACATTTCTCATGAATGATGAGACAACGTCAGACCTGGGTACTCATAGCATGATGTCAGTCTGTCATGTATGATAAACTACAGATGGGTCGTGATAGTCGACTAGTTGATTAGTGAGGTTGACTAATGGTGCGTTCATATGCTATGGAAAATGTGATGTTTTCTGGTATTTACCAGTGTGTTGCGTTCAAGTGCTTTTGTTGTTGTAATGTGGTAAAAAGATGGAGATCCAGACCAGTTATTTAGCTAAAACTATTTTAGATGGCTTAAGTCATCTGCAACAGGAAGAAAACGATTAATCAAAAACTCAAACGGTAAATAATATGCTGTATATTTTCTAGATCATGAATAGTATATATTTTTACCATTCACGACTCTCGCGTTGCTCTCCGCCATATTGAAATGGTCAAAGGTTATCTCATCTCGGCAACTCGTCCATCAAAATATTCTACGAGTTGCCCAGTGGAAAATACCACATGAGGGGGTGTTCATGTGCATTTTCCACGTCAGCTTTTGGTATTTACCCTAATTACCATAGCACATGAACGCACCATAACTCATTTTTTATCATGCAAACTGTGTGCTGCACTTTAGTGGTTAAGTTGTGGGTGATATTTCATGGCAAAAAGGTCCATTGTTAATAGCAGATGAATGAAGCACAGCTCACACACAAGTCACTCTCAAACCAAACAGCTTTCCGTTGTTTGCGTGCCCAACTTAAACGTGTGAAATCTGCTTGGGGGACATTTTAGTCCTCATCCGTAACTCCCAATCACTCAGATTTCACCCATGCCATTTTCAGGGCGTCTTTAAACGTAATCACACCTAGACCATAAAAACTATCTCACAATTCTTCGCATTCAAAGCACCGCTGTCAGAAAATACACATTCAGAGGAAAGTCTCTGGCCATTGTGTCTCATCTCGCAACGTCCTCCAACAAGTGTTGAGTTTTAAAATACTGTGTTGACAAACTATTATAAACAAGGTCTTGAAAATGTGCAGTTACATAAGCAGAAAAGGTCCATTGTCTGTTGTCAATAATGTAGCAATGTGTCGGGGCGGCGCTCCAACATACAGGGGTGCATTTCCCAATAAACAACGAGCCTCACTGCTTACCCACCGTGACGCATCACGAAAATTTAGAGGTAAATGTGACCGAACGTTAAGAAAGGCAAACCCCAAAACCAGCCAAATTAAATTAGGATTTCCTTAAAGCAGATTGGCCGACGTATCATTCTTTCAAAAATGACGTTATACAGTTCGACTTTGTGTCTATTCCGGGATCCAAACAGTTCTATGTGCATCTCAGAAACAAGTCATCGCCAGTCCTCTGGCAGAAGGAGGTCAGAGTTCAGAGGGCCTGCAGTTGGCCACCAAAGACACACAAAGCTACGCTTTCATACAGAGGGCTACATATCTACCTCCATCCTACGCTCATGGTGCACTAAAAGTCGCTAAAGTTCTGGCAGGTTCTCTTCATTCCTCTCGTCCGTCACCTCGGTTTCTTCTTCAAAGGATGCTGACACGCTCCGTCAGCCCCTGCATATCGGCGTCCTCTGTGCCCTCGTCGTCGTCGTCGGACGCAGGTGGCGGGGGCACCAGGTGAGCGGGGTAGGGCAGCGTGTGATTATGGGCGTACTGCTGCCAGCGGCTGTCATCGCTCTCGTGGGTTATGTAACGCTCCCCAAGCTTTGACTCCAGCTCTCGGAGGTCCAACCAGGCCTGGTAATCCTGAAAGAGTGGACAGGGGCGGTGGGAGGTAGAGAGAGAAAATCAATATAGACAGAAGGACGCCACTGCTAATGATGATCCATTTTGTT